TCTTCCTTCCTCAAATGTTCTCTTAAATATTGGATCACAGCTACTTGTTTACACTTTCAGATGACATCTACCAGTTGCTTTGTCAGAAGCACTTTTTGGTCCTTAACTGTTTGCTGAACAAAAATTCAGTGAAGCTTTCTGTTTTTGCATTTTCATGACAGAAAACACCATGCCTGTTGAATTTCTGCTTGAAGACACAAAAGATTTGTAATAAGATCAGGTAAATTAACAAAATTAGTTTTACCAAATTACTTAATACTTCTCCCTTTGATCTAGTGCCATGTTATTGTCTTTGTTCTGGTCAATGTATTGCTTTGCCATACTAATTTGAAGAGACGGTCAGGCCAGACACCTCATGTCATCAACGGCCTGACAGAACTGGAGGTGGAGTAGCCCCTTCCCTACCTTCCAGAGGGACTACTTCATATCTGTGTGCTTGTGGGAAGGCAAAGAGTAGAAACTCATGCCATTAGCTTCTGAGGAGTACTTCAGTGGGACTGAAAAAATTACATGTGTGCATTTCTGGTCTTTTGCCTTCTGTGATATAGCAGAAAGGTGATGTGGAAATGTATTAAACAATTTACTGCTGTCAGCTTTGGAACCAAGAAATTGTTTCCAGCTCGCTTTTTAATGCAAATTAGTATATATGCTTCATATATGTGAGGAGACTATCAACACCACTACCATCCCTTGATATCCTCCCCTTAAGGGGAAGCAAAAACTACTACAAGTAAATTGCCTGTAAAACAAGCATATGCTTCCAAGAAATATCCTGAAGATTTTTGGATAATCACCATAACACCAAAGACAGGTTTGCTGACTACGGGCTGTGCTGTCTTAAAAGCAAGGCTAGTCTGGTACGGTCTGTCTTGACCCATGTTGGAACTCTAAAAGCAAGGAAATCCCACAAAATAACTACTTGTCTAAACAAACTGGGTTTTTTTCACACCCAGCTGCATGAATAGAATTCAGTCTTGCTGCTGACATCTGGAATCTTCTCTTTAGTTGCTCCACTAGGAGCTGGTGCATGCTATACTCCATCTCCTATTAACTGAATCAAATCATGATCTTTTTTATAGGGCCAGCACAATAGCACTGAGGCAAGTTCTCCACAAACGTGTTACACTAGTGCACAAAAGTATCTATTATAAATTTAGAAAGCTCTTAATTACACTATTCTATTTCTAGCTGTTGGAATCTGCTGCATGAATTTTAATAACTAAATTAATGCTGCAGATCTTAGCAGCAGGAAACAGCTACATTATTTATATAGGCTTTGAACTGATCTGATTTTATCTTCTAGAACAACAGTCAGATTTAATATTAATTCTGAGATCAGAGGAGGTCAGATGCACCAGATTCAGAAAGGCGGCTAAACTTGAGGTAAGTGCCATTTCTGGTGCAGAACCTCTTGCAGCTGGAGGGTCCAATGTGATTTTATTCATTCATTTATTATATGCTTACCAGAAAAACCAAGAACAACAACAATAAAAGCAACAGTACAAGTATAAAATTTTGAAGAAATGTTCAGGGTCCAATATTGCTGTTGTGAGCAAGGCCAAAGCTCACCACAGCACAAGTTCAAAATAAATATTTTTATTTCTGTTTTTAGAATTAATTTGTTGTAAACCGTTCTGAGACATCTAAGTATGGGACAGTACAGAAAAGTTTTAAATAAATAAATAAAGCCTTAGGACATGGGTGAGGAATCTCAGAGCTGGGCTCCTAAAGGAGCCCTGCCAGGGCATCTCTGCTGGCCACACCTGTTTCCTGTAACCATTGATGCTTTTGGTGGGTTTTCAACATCCCTTCCCCAGTCCTAGAAGGATGAAATGCCTCTCTTTACATCTTAGCTGGCAGGACAGCTTTAAGATAAAGTATGCTGGATTTTTTCTGCCCCTCTTACTACTGAACTGTGGCCCATGAGAGCTTCTCTGAAACTGAATTCAGCCGTTAGACTGAAAGAGCAACCCACCCCCTGACCTTAGAGAAAGCATCCCAGCCATTTAAATGGGGGCAGGCAGACTGGACAAAAGCTGGAAAACTGCCAAACAATTGGTAGTGATAGAATGGGGATGTGGTCTTCTGGAGAACTCAGCTGGACTGGACACTGGAAAGGCCAAATCTGGCCTCTGCTTTGATGTTCTGCAGCTCAGTCCTAGATACACCTGTAGTGACGGTTTCCTCTATAAGAATCAACTGGCTGTCTCCAACAGAAAATGAAAGAAAGGTATATTCTCTCAGACTTGCTGCTCCATTTTTCATATGCATTACTTGAGCCTGGATCGATTTTTGTGCCAGCATATAGGTTCTACACACAGTGGAATACAGAAGCAAAAATCCCTTGCAGATACTCCCCACTCTTTTTCTTGTGCTTTCACCAAGAATAGGTTCCCTAAAACTCCCAGAGACTGACTGACACAATGGAAAGCAGATGGCTGGAAAACTGCACACCAAGGAAGGAAATTTGTGATGAGTCCTATAAACTAGCCAGGCCAACAGGCAGGCTAGTAGAAACCATTCTTACCTGTATCTGGCTGTCGGCAGAAGTCTAAAATAGATACAACATACATGACAGCTAAGTGTTTATGTGCTCTACAAGCCCCATCAACAGAACAGACTGAGGATGTAAACCTGTATGCTAACATAGAAACAGAGTGAGTCAGAAGGGGCCTCCCAGGCCATCTAGTCTGACCCCCAGCTCCAGCCGGCTCCTTTCATGACATGCCTACCATGTGCATGTCTAACTTGGAAATAAGTCCCATTGGACCATGGACACTCATAGAATTACACTATTAATCATGTGCACAGGCACATTCATGTGTAACATTAGTATATCAACAGTACATCATGCCCAGGTTTGGAAAGTCAGGGGCAGAATTCTGGACCACATGTAAGAACCATGTCCTTATGGTCCTTCTAGTCCAGCATTCTGTTAAGAGTGGTAGCCCACCTGCCCACAGAATCCCAGAGCACCCTCCTGCCCAAGTTCCCCTGCAACTCGTGTACATAGTCTACCACCTGTAATGTTGGCGGTAACATAGATCTCAGGACTTGTGGCCGTTAAGAGCATTCTCCTCCAGAAATCTGTCTAATCTCCTTTAAAGCCATCCAAACTGGTACCCATTATTATATCTTGTGGCTGTGAACTCTGTCATTTAACTATACTCTGTGAGAAGCAGTCCTTCCTTTTATGACTGAATCTTCCACTAATCAGCCTATTGGTATGATACCACGTTTGAATATTACAGTAGTAGTAGGAGAATGTTTTCCTAACCATTTTCTCCACACCATGAATAATTCTGTACACCTCTCTGTCTCTGCTTACTCCCCTTTTATCTAACAATCTCAGCTGTTGTTACCTTTCCTCACAGGAGAGTTCCTTAAAGGGTTTAACATTTTAGTTGCTCATTTCCCAACTCTAAAAGTATCCTTTTAGATATGGCAACAAGAACCCTACATAATATCGAAGCACAAGTGCCCCAAAGATTTGTATGCATGTAATATGATATTGGGACTGCAGGTGGCGCAGTGGTTTAAACTGCTGTGCTGCTGGGCTGGTTGATCAAAAGGTCGCCGGTTCGAATCTGCATAACGGGGTGAGTTCCCATTGCTCTGTCCCAGCTCCTGCCAACCTTGCAGTTCAAAAGCATGCAAATGCAAGTAGATAAAAAGGTACCACTTCGGTGGGCAGGTAACAGTGCTCCATGCACTTCAGTGTTTAGTCATGCCGGCCACATGACCACGGAGATTGTCTGTGGACAACACTGGCTCCCTCGGCTAGGAAATGGAGATGAGCACCACCCTCAAGAGTCAGGCATGACTGGACTTAACGTCAAGGGGAAACCTTTTCCTTTAATATGATATTGCCAGGTTTATTTTCAATTATTTTCCTAATTATGAATTTCTCCATTGGAAGAAATAATCATTTATCCCCAACTCTTTACTTTCTATTCTTCAACAAGTTAGTGTTCCGTAACAGGCCCTCCCCTCCCCATGACTAAGTGCTCAGGAATCGTTGGTGAGTGACTCTGACACGGACTTTTACGAAGTCCAAATAAAGATGAGCTAGCAAGTAACCTCTGCCGACGTCTATATTGACTAGAGTGCAGATGGAGTATACCACTTTCACAGCTTTCCTCTTATTAGTAAAACTTCTCCATAACTAAAACAGCTAGCACGTCAAAGTGAAATATATGCCACTTCCATCTTCTCTTTGCGTCTTGGAGTTCCACTCAGGAGCTATTTACATGGGAAAGCATCCAAAAGTGCGCCCACATCTTCCGGCCATGGCCTGCAGAGAGGCATTTTCACTTTGTGCAGGCGCCAGCGGGCATCCTGGAAAACAGGCCAGGACACGCGCGTTTCAGTGCATTCGAATGTGACAAGCACACGTGAAACTTGTGGCAAACGCTTTCCCTAAGACTCGCGTCACCTGAATAGACTATTGGAGAAAAGGAAGGAGGTTCAGAGGGACAGCAAGCAAAAGCAGCAGCACAAGAAAAGCCGCGCACTCCTCAAAAGGTCCTTCCGACGCCGCCACGCCTACTCCCCGCTGCCAGCCAATCAGAAGGCGCGAGGGGCGTGGCTTCGTCAGTGATTCAGCAGAGACGGGTGGCCCGCAGCTCGGCTCACAGGGATACTGCTCTGTCAGGAAATGGCCGTGCCGCTTCTTGGCCTAATGACGTCAATTTGAAAGTTTCTGCCTGCCCCCGCCACACAGTCGCTTACTGTCCTTTGGCACCTTCGTAGTAACGCGACCAAGAAATCCTCGGCGCGCCCTCGCGCCGCTGTCCCAGGGAAGCGCACTGCCTACGGGGAAAGGCGTTGGTTGGGACAGCAGCGGTTTGGAATCAGAATTTCCTGCGGCGGCCGCACGCGCGCAGCCGCGTAGCGGTTCGCAAGACGGCGGCCGCTCCTAAGGGGAGGGGGGCGGGTTCTTCGGCGCACGCGCTGCGCCGAATAGCGGTGACCTGGGGGCGTGGCTAGACAGTGAGGTGGGGGGAGTCAGCTGACTTCGCGGCGTCAGATCGAGGAACCGTCAACGGCGGAAGGAGGGAGGACCGTCTCCTGGGCCTGAGGGAGGTGCCATGGCGACCACTGTTAGCACTCAGAGGGGTCCGGTGAGTACTGGTGGCTGTTCTGGCAGTGAATGCCCCCCGCCTCCTTGCTCCCCGCCCTGGGAATGAGCCGGGGGTGATCGGGTCATCGGGACCTTCTCTGACAAGAGCTGGGGTGGTGCCTCAACCCTGCTCCCCTCCACTTTAGGCCAGTGGCCTCGCATGGGGGTAATAGGCATAGATTGAGGGTGACTGTCTTTGCCCTGACATGCTTGGGACCGTCATTGATGGAGCGGGAGAGGAGTCGTATGTTTGCCTCCTTCTCGTCACTCCATGTGATACATCCGGAAAGATCCCTCGAATCATCATGGCTCATTCTTTTCCCCTGTTTCATTGTTAAGCATGTCAAGTAAGTACACTGGGAGAGAGAAGAACATGAGGAAAGACCAGGCCATAATAATGCCAAAGCCCACTTTGAAAGTGGAAAAGAACTTTCCCTCACTTCTCATGTCAGCACTTCTGCACCTGGGTATTATGCTGTACAGACAAAAGTCATAAATACATCTCCTGAGGGTGAGATAGTTAACTGTAAAAAGGAATGTTGCTCTAACCTGGTATTTGGAAATCATGTTTTTGACTCTGTATGAAAGATAATAAAATCCTAGTAGTTCCTGTAGCCTGTCTAAGCAAAGGGGAAGGCCTCAAGGAAAGCTCTGGATTCTTATGTTACATTCTTATGCATAAAGAGCTACATTTCTGTAGCCGAATATATGGATTTTGTTGCATAGAAAGCACTATCTTTTTTCAGAAACTTCTGTCAGAAATGAGTCTGTTTCCTGAAGTTTGTGCAGTAAAGTTTAACATTGATACCGTTTTTTCCTTGGCTCACATGATAGCCACCCTCACACACAGAATATTTCTTTTAAAATAATAGTCCTCTACTATAAAATTATTTAAAATTCAAACGAAGCTATAAAACAATCTTCAGTATTTAAAAAACAAAAACTTGAAGCAGCAGTAAATAAGAAATAACCATCATAGGCCTGGTCATTGAAAGAACAAAACACCAGGCAAACAGTCATGGGAAGACCATTCCAAAGTGAGGGTGCCAACACAAAAAGGCTCTTTCTGTAGTAGCCACTCATGTAACATCTGTTAGGGTATCCAGGGGAGGATTTATTTGAAGGATCTTTAATTGATAGGCATTTTCATCTGAGAATAGATCCTCCAAATAAATATACTCAGTTGGACAATGTCCAGCACCTTTTGCATCTTGGTAACTAGATATTTGGTATTGGTCCTTGGCATTGAAAGACTTACGATCTTTTTGTTGTTTTGTTCAGCATTGTGGACCTATGTATAAAGGAGTGTGAGATCTGGTCCTTGAATAGTCATTGAAGAACTTAGGCTACCTTAGGTCCCATAAGTATTTGGGAAATTGTAGCTAGAAAAATGTTTAAGTTGATAGCAAAGTCTGGGGTCTATATTCTGTTTTGCTGAAATAATATGCATCTCTTCATTAGATTCCTAATTCTGTATATCTGATGGTCACCACTAACCCGTTTGGAAGGACAGCACATTTTAATGTTGGAACACTTGATTCTTTTGAAATAGTTAATTATGATAATTATACAGATAATTATGACATGCACTACTGAAGTGTGGCTACAGTATCATAAATAAAGATTGTACTGAATGACAGCATTTTCACTTAAATTGTCTTTAATTCCTAGAAATCTTAAATAGTATTTCTTGAAATATACCATTATTATTATTTCTTTTTCTTGCAAAAATCATAAAACAACTTACATAGTCCTCCACCACACCATTTTATCTTTACAAACAACCACCTTGTGAGGTAGACTGGCTGAGAGTGAGTAACTAACCCTTAGTCACCCAGTGATCGTCATGACCGGGGAGGACTTGAACCCAGATCTTCTGGATCTCCAATCCAGCACTCTATTATGTCCCTACTGGCTTTCACATTGTTATTCTTTGATTTTATTTTGTTTTTCTATTGGTTTCATTACTGCCTATGCCTGGAGCCAAAATAATATTTGAATTTCAGTTTTTCTTGAAGTCTTGGTTTTGGGTAGGTGACGTATGAGTATGTTTGCCAAGCCATAGTTTTTACTTTGCTTAAATTGCATGTTCCCTTATATTAGTTTTTAAAAAAAATCAGGTTCTTGCACAGATAATAATTGGGTTTGCATGATCTCCATAGTCCACCACGGCTTATTTAAATGGGAGATTGTGGCTAGTAGCCATTTTGAATATTCACCCCCCCCCCCCATTGAGGGTTGCCATCATTTATTTTATTTTCTGAACCTGAGCAGCAGATGATGACATTTCTGCCTACCAGAACTCACTATAGGTCACAGTGGCTTAAAAATTATTATGGGTTTCAGCAAACAAATGAAGTTGTATAGATACTCAAACATTCTCTTCTGTCAGTTATCATACCAAAATAAGTACTCCTTTAAGATAAATATTTGAGTTAAAAGCTTCATTTGTCTTGGTTGTTCAACTAATTTTCAGCTGCTAAAAGGCTTTTGAAGTATAAGACCTTATATAAGATATTCTAATTAACTCATGGCTGCCTGGCTTTGTAACTAAGAGTATATAATATATTGTGTAACTTGAATATGATTGGTATTTAGAAAGAATTTATTTTGTTTGATGGTTCTTGTGGACTTTTACTACTAGCAAAGAGATACTTTAAACTTTGTGCAGGGACTGTAGTTCCGAGGCAGAATATTTGCTTTGTGTGCAGAACATTCTAGGTTCATTCCCCAGCACCTGCATTTAAAAGGATTGGGCAGCAAGCAGTGGAAAAGACAGACTTTGACTAGGACCCTGAAAATTTGTTGCTAAGCAGGAAGGAATTTCTGATAGTGTGAGGCATCTTTGTTTATTCCTATGATTTAAAGGTTTCATTCAGAATTAACTAAACCTTTGTAAATAAGCATGTGCTCCCCCACTTCTCAGGTATGTTCATGAGGCAGAGTTCAGAAGCTATTGCTTCAATTGTAGTTTTACCACAGCTTGTCATCTGAAGTCAGTTAAACTCTTGTTAACTATGGTTGAAAAGTCAACTTCAGACCATGATTTATGATTCTGGCTTGTTTTAACAAATCATAATTAAGATTAACCAGAGATTTCAGTCCATATGGTCTGCTAAACTGCAGTCAATCTAAAAGGGAAGCTTCACATATTCTCCAAGCCGTAGCTGTAGTGTAAGTTTAGTATGCTAGAAGTTTAGAAGCATCTTTGCATTGTACGTGTATTTACTGTTAAGTTGATTAGACTTTTTATACACATACACACACACAGAGTAGCATATATTTTCACCTTTAAAACAATACATAGAATCACCTTGCATAACAAAGCTTTCTTGTTCTAAGAACTTCTGATACACACCCATAAAAACAAATCTACACTTGAGTGGCAGGCAGATACCCTATTTCATTTACACAGTAATAATTCCTAATTCCCTTTGTATCTTGAAAGTTGTTTATAAAGTTGTAATGTAAGCAAATGGCCACTGAAGGATGCTAAAGAGCTATGCTTAAATGCCCCCCCCCCCCCCATTACAGACTTGGGGTTTTTTCCTGTCCTAGGAAAACCTATTCAAAGCATGCTTCCTGATGTGGATGTCCAATAGTTTATGTATATGGCATTCCAAAATCTTGTCAGTGTGACTCTGGTCACATGTTTTCAAATTTGTATCTATTGTAAAACATACACTCTGGCTTCATGCTTTTTTCATTTGAAATTGAAATCTTATTGGAACAGTGTGTACAAACAGCCATAGTGGGTCAGGCATGGCAGTGACTCATCTCCATTATACTTTTTGCCAAAATGGTTAACTGTGATCATTCAAATGGTGTGTCAAGAACTGGGCAGTAATGATTATATTTTTGAACAATTTTAGTTTGTAGTCACTGGCTAAGTTTGCTTTACAACAACCCAAATTCAGGGTTGAGTATGGATTCTCATTGAACTGAGGGTGATTGTTGAATGGCAGTTTTTGTAGCTGAACCTGCTGCACTAACATATGATGGCTAATAACTAACACCCTGTAATTCACAACCTAAGAACAAACTATGGGTTTTCTCCATGAGTTGCTCATGGTGAACAAATCATAGTTTGTTAGCATGACCAAGTTAATACAACACCACGACATAGGTTGTTCAGCAGCAACCTACACTTAACCAATATTTAACTTTGGGGTATGAGTTCTTGTGTTGTGTGAACTGTGAATGAGCGAACTCTACAAATACAGTGCCCAGGATGTTACAGTTTGTCCATATCTGGTATTTAAAACGAAGTGTGCTTACATAGGTTATATAGCACTATAGAAACTGTTTTCTGTTTTGATAATGGGAATGAATCCTGAATTTCCTGTTCTTATTCTTGTGATTTGTAAAGCATCATTGCTATCTCTCAGCTCTGCAGTGGCTTAATTTCTAGCAGAGAACAAGGGAATAGTTTTAATATTTGTTGTATCAGATTATTATGCTGTTCGTTCTAACCAGCCACTGGAAAAAGAATTTCAGCTTCTGTTTTTAGAAAGAATTTAATGGTAATCATTGTTCATTGAAAGTGAAACTTGCCCCCAAATCCAAGAATTAAATAATTTAAAAAAACACAAATAGTTAAAAAATCAGAATCTCTGGTTCTCTTGGAGGCATGATTTATATTTTCTAGGGGCTAACTACACTGTTAAAGCAATGTTGTCACTGTTAACAAGTAGGGAAGATGCTTTAATCCACAAACCTTACAACATGCCAAAAAGGTAACATAAAATATTGTACTAGATATTGTGAGAGAGCTTTTTCTTCATGTAACAAATGCATTTGAAATACTATGGGTTTAATGAGACTCAAAAAGACTATTTCTGTAATTTGAAGGTACATAAAATGTGAATCTTATGAAGAGTTCATCTGTCATGCTGACCCAAGCACAATTGCATCTCTTGTATCTGGGACTGCTATACAGTGGTACCTCGGCTCACAAACGCCTTGGGTCACAAACACCTTGGGTCACGAACAAAAATTACT